TAAAGGAAAGTTTCGTCATAAATATGTTATAAACCGTGTAATGTTGTTTCGTCTATGCCTCTCTGTCACGGTGTCACGATCCATTCGGAGCACAGTGACACTTTGGCAGGATTCCCTGTGTACCACTGTTGGCACTGCACGGACAGCGTCCGAATTGATTAATTGCAACGCACTCGCCAAACCCAATCTTTACCCCGCGATACAAGACAACCGCAACGATCCAACTTCGCGGATAGCTCGATGGATTGGGGGTTAAGCACCCTGTGAACCCTGGGGTCTCGGACTGTTTGGGAGAATATTCGATACTGTCAACGTCTTCTGCCGATTATCTGCGGTAACGTTTAAGCCACGTCGAGACCGATGTGGACGACGTAGCAATTACTTCCTGTTAAATTATTCTACGGTTCTTAGCACTGATCAACTCCGGATGGATTGCTTTCCTATATTTATCGATTTCACGGGAATATGGTCTATACGTAGTCTAAAATTAATTCTAGAATATCTGGAAGTTATTTTATATTTAGAAATACTAATTCTTTTGTTATTATTACACCACTAAATTTACAATCAATTCCATTGGGGAATTTTTAATGAATATGGCCACTAAGGCAATGGCACAACAATACAAACAAAATATAGGACACGCATAAGAAGCTAAGGGTAACAAAGGAACACTAATAATAATATTTTTTGCAAACGTCATTAACTGTCCAAACTAGTCTTGATTAATTAAAAATGTTAATGTTTCTCATTCTCGTATAGTTGCCCAATTTAGGTGGGTTTAGCGTGAACGAAATAACCCTGGCTTTGTTGGGGCTTTGGTTAAACTAATTTGCTATTGCTGTACCAAAGTTTGTATCTTCGGGAGAAGTTCAAGTAGAAAAATTACGATATATAGTTCAACAAGTTTACCAAAAGCCCCAAGGTAGCAACTTAAGCGTCTATAAGTGAGTGGCAGGAATAAGATCAAGCGATTAAACTCTCGCCTCGGTCCACGGACGATGGGAGGGTCAGATCACTCCGATGTTTAAGCTAAATACCCCTTAAACTCACTTTGGCAAGATAAGTGTTACATTTTTGATATTTCACTTTTTATCAAACAATTTTTCACGTACTTTTTTTATCGGCGATCGTCGACGTTTTGGGGGATGAGAACGACCATTAAGGCGGGGGCGGAAAATATATTTTCTGTTATATCTCGGCAAGTATCGCAGATAGTGGAATTGTGTCAACGGGGCGAACTTTGCGTTTTTCACGTGGTGAATATCGCTACGGGAACAGGCTTTTAAAAGCTCCGTTTGTTTAAATAATATATTAAAAATTATGGAGGTTAATTTTTAATTTGAAACACGAGGCGCGAGGGTGCGAACAAACAGAAAGTTTGTAATGCTCTTAGGAAAATATATGCAAATTGATGGGAGTATAATTTCTGAGCGAGTACATATTTATAATGGCCGACACTGTACACGTAGGAACGCAAGTTTCGCGAAGGTCCGATCGGATCGCATATCGTCGCTATACGTTTGGCAAACATTCGGTGAATCCCTTCGGAATATTGTCTACGTATATTGTCATGGGTCTGATTGAATTCCCCGGTGAATTTACGCGCGTAGTACACAAAGCGTCGGCCATTCATCGACGATCCGATGGAAATTAAGTGCAGCTTCTACTTATCGGGGATATCGATCCTCCAGAAGCAGCCTCTCAAGGCGTCGTCGTCCAAAACATTGGCCAAGTTCGTTTCTTGAGCCCGTCGGTCGTTGATTATCCGGACAATACACGCCATCCGGCCGTTCGTTTGCCTACGGAATCTCCGCAATTACGCGTGTATACCGGATGACCCAGTTGTCGCAGCCACTTGGCGCGCCACGCCGAAAGACCGTGGAACCGGGCCGAGATGGAAATTGTTGGTTCAGTGGAAAAGTATGCAAAGTCCGACGCAAGAATTTGGTGGTCCGCGACAGAAATCGACGCGTCTTTGGGCAAATTTCATTTTTGGCGAACACGCGTACCTCTGACATTCTAATCATTTTCAAGAAAAAACTTCGAGTAGGTGGGCAAATTTTTCGACATAATTAAAAAATTTCAAATCGTTCTGGAAAAATTACTTTTAGTTACGGGAGTCAATTACAATCATTTTTAGCCATTAGACATATCCTCGAAATCCTATCTATTTTCGAGAAAAAAATTCGAAAACGTGAGTTTACCGACAAAATTAAAAAATTACAAATCGTTCTGAAAAATTTATTTTCGGTCACGTTAGTCGATTACAATCATTTTTAGCCATTAGACATACCCTCAAAATCCTACCCATTTTCAAGAAAAAATTTGATAAGTTGTAAAATTTTTCGACAAAATTAAAAAATTTCAAATCGTTCTGGAAAAATTATCTACGGTCGTGGGGGTCAATTAAACTCATTTTTGGTGAACAGACATAATCATGAAATCTTACGCATTTTTGGGGAAAAAATTTCGTACTGAAGACACAATGTCTGACCAGAATGTCCGATTCCCCTGAAATTTCAAAGGTATGTTTGGAACGCCATAACTCATGAATGGATTGGATGATTTTAAAGTTTCAAAATGCAAATAACGCGTATTTTAGTGAAGAATATGTAGAAATTCTAACAGTATTGAAGAATTTTTCCGTAAAATTAAAAAACTTTGAATCATTCTAGAAAAATTATTTTTAGTTGCAGGGGTCAATTACAATCATTTTTTGTCATAACACATACCCCCGAAATTCTACTCAGTTTCGAGAAAAAAATTCTTTTCCGAAAATATGTCTGACCATACCGTTGATATGTTTCACTGAAATTTCATGCATATGTTTAAAATATCATAATTTCTGAACGGCTCGAAAGATTTTAATGTTTCAAACGGCAAACGATGCGTATTTTAGTAAAGAATAAGTAGAAATTCTAAAAATATTCGAAAAGTTGTTCCTTAACACCGTAAAGTGAGAAAACTCTCATAAAAGTGGTCCAATTTTCAAACAGCCGTAACTCTTACAATAGTGAATATATCTCAATGAAACTTTTTTCTGAAGTAGAGCTCATAGTTACCTACAAAAAAGTATTGGACAACTTTTCTATAGAGTGTCAAACAAAATTACTAAAAATCAAAAACGAATTTTTAAGAAAAATCGACGGCCTAAATTTTTCGGCGAAAAGAAAAAATTTCAAATCGTTCTGAAAAAATTATTTTTAGTTGCGGGGGTTAATTACAATCATTTTTGATGAACAAACATACCCCCGAAATTCTATGCACTTTCGAGAAAAAAATTCGAGTGGTTGCGGAAAGTTTGCAGCGAAATTGAAAAGTTTCAAATCATTCTGAAAAAATTATTTTTGGTTGCGGGGACCAATTAAAATTTTTTTTTGGTAAATACACATACTCCCAAAATTCTTTACCGAAAATACAATGTACGGCCAGAAATGTTTAAAACATCATAACTCTTGTACGAATTGGAGGATTCTAATGTTTCAATATGCAAACAATGCATATTTTGGTGGAGAATATTTAGGAATTCTAAGAATGTTCGAAAAGTAACTCCTTAACCTCGTAAAATAAGAAAAACCCCATAGAGATGGTCCAACTTTCAAACGACCATAACTCCTGCAATAGTTCACAGTGTTCCAGTCGTTGTCCAATGCCAATATTTGACGACGAGTAGCCTCTTGATTATGAAATTTGACGTCAAGAATTTGTAACGAGTCGGACTCGACATTGTACGGTTGGAGATTAATATCTTCAATTGAAATTCCTTGTGAAAACTTACGAAGTTACGAGTACAGCTAATGATGTACCATCATTCCATTTGCGGTACTTAAAGAATCGCGTGTTTAAAAATGAAAAACGTCAGAGATTCGACGAGATCCCCGAACAATGAGTAATCCACTTATCTCCGTTTGTTCTCGCGAAATAATTCAAGCCACCAGCCTCTCACGAAATATTGTTATGAAGTGTCACGAATTATCGAAGCGATCTTTTTATTCGTACTGTCCCGTTTCGTGGATCTTTTGTGTCTAAACGTCGCTGATACTCGAGATTAAACGACAAAGGATAAAAGCTGGTACGTCTTACATTCGAGAAGGTGGAGAAAAGGGGAGATTAGCTCTTGAGGGTAACTCTTTGTCTAATCGAGGAAAGGAAACCGAGTAGTCCGGATTGGATGGAAACTTTAAGCAGTTGTAAGACTTTTCGACCGATTTCATTACGTGAACTTGACTATGGAGCGCGATTTCTAACTGCATCGTCGAATGCACGCTGAAATGATTACCAATGGAAGGATTGTTTCGCTGTGAAAGGGCGCTTTTCCGACTCACTGACGCCATTTTATTGGTATAACAATGATTTCGCTCTGGGAAGAGACTCGTTAAGAAGAAGCTGACCTACGCTGCCATGTCGAGTATACCCTTTTTTCGAAACGTCAACAAGATCGACGGGTCCACCATTCTTCGAATACTCACGTTCGAAAACAGAATACGACCTGCCATCGCATTTTTTTCGACCTTTACTAGTTTTGGTTGGGGTTTTTTTTTAGCGAAAAAGCGAATAAACCTGGTCGGAGGTACAGTTTCACTCCGTGACAATTTTTCCTCGGGGAGAAAGCTATTTTATGGGGTTCAAATGATCTACTATTTCTCCCCCATTTCCCTACACCTTTTGTTCGAAACAAAAATGTGATTCGTAGAATCATTCCAGTTCGAATATTCTTTTTCCCTTTCTTTCAAAGAAAGTTCTTTTTGAGGCAAAATGCTCTCCAAGTTTTGGCAAAACCGTAAAATACCAAAGTCTTTCAACTTCAAGAGAGGAAATGTTCAAAAGTTTTCAAACGAACATCCGATTTTGTTTCGAAAAAAGTTAATCCAAGTTTGAAATATTTAATTAACCTTCTATTAACAGAAATGAACTATTGCACGAGATGATCTGTTATTTTGTAACCGACGAACGACGTAACCGAATGTTATTTAAATCTCGATCTGCTTTGCTTTCAGGATATCGGTGATATTCAGAGTGAAATCAGCGAAAGCCGTAAAAATAACCGACGGCAGCCTGTTGAAGCGGTTAGGCGTGATTGTGATGATATTCAGCGTGTTCCTAACCATTCGTACATTGGTCGCGCCTCCTGTGGTTATAGTTGCCCGAACCGCTGACGACCTTAAGGCTTATCTCTGCCGGACCGACTGGTGGGATCACAGTTTCACTATACGTGAGTGGCCTAACACATGAAACCATTTCGTTGTGCATGTTCCTTTCTTCCACGAACCACGACCGATAACACACTCCTTACAATAATTAACCCCCGGCAAATTGACTGATTTGGAACCTACATATCATTTCATTCCATATTTGCCTTACAACTTATTTATGAGAGGAAAAAATCAAATTTTATTTCAGGACACTTTGACTTCCACTACCCTTTAACGTAAAACGTTCGTATCCAGATCTGCTCTGATAGTTTGCTTCCGTTTTGAAAATATCACTGTCGAGAATTTTATTTTTAAGAGGACAGTCTCATGTGAGGCCTCAGAAAAATTAATTTCTTTTTATTTCATTTTAATGGGAGATTTTGGAGGCCAAAATAGGACGAATACAAGAATACCAATTTGTTGATCGTTAAAGAGATTCGTTAAAGAGTTATTAACGTTTAAATTTGGGCCTGTAGATAGGCAATCTGCGTGCAGCTTGGTGCGCGCGATAGTGGTTCTCACTCGAGCATGAGAAATTGTACTTAGTGACGTATCGACAGCCTTACAGTTTTCTGAGTGAGCATCACTATCACGCATACGCAGCTGTTGGCAGATTGTCAACTAATTGGTATTCTTGATTTTCGTCTTATTTTGACTTCTAGAATTGTTCATGTAAATTTTTCCCAGGGTTGGCCGAACACCCTGTATATTTAACACTAGATTTACTGAAGCCGTCAATTTGACGGATGTCTGGTACCATATTTAAAATTGCAGAACGCGTAAATATTATTTTTTAACAACTTATGTTGAATTTGATTGATGCAATGGCATGAATACATATTCTAATTAAAAGAAAAATCGAATTTAAGGTAATCGTCAACATGAAAGGTATCAATCAGTAGAACATTTCTCGTATATTCCTCGCGGTAATTACCAGAGTTATTACTTCGAGCGATTACCTTGTACAGCCCAGACATTATTGTTTCGAAAGGTTTACGAGAGGGGCAAGAGACATCTGCTGTTTTTAAAAGTCGAAATTCTAGCGTTTGTGCCACATGAGTGCCAACACTCTGGAAGGAATTCTATATGGAGCTGGGATTGATTAGTATGATCGTGAAGACTTTAACACATTGACTGCCACGTCACCCACATATGGATGACACGACTTTTCACCAAGGAGTTAAAAAAATTAATTCCCAAGATTAGATGTAAAAGAAAATGAAGCTAGGTAGGGCCCTTGAATTTTAACGAGTCTGTGAAAATAAATTCCATGACAAATTCTTGGTATGCTAGTTTCCAATTGTCTGAAAACAAAATTTAATTTTCCTTTTAATTTGAGGGGTTTGGTCTGGCAGTCAACGTGTTAAATGCGTTTCTCTCGAAATGTTACTTTCTTAACTGGCGTAGACAAAATCTCAAAAACTACAAATTCGATTGCTCTGTAAGTGTTACACGTTGTTCCACACACTAATAGCTCTAGCCCATACCAAAATTATATTTCTATAATGAGTATATCGTATACTTTTATTAAAAAGTCTGCGTAAAAAATGACAAAATTTTGCAATTTTTAATTTAAGCTTTCGCCATTTTGCCAATTTTTAACATAAATTAATTATTTTGCTACGGGCCATATCAGGCAACCTACCGAATAAAAATCTTTTTGATTCTTTTGATTTAATCAACCTTGATAGCTGCAATCACCTACGTGAGTATTGAAACACATGTTTATTGTGGTCAAACATGAAAAGTCAATAAAAATTATTGAAAAATTTACTTTGTATTCCCAAAGGATAGTTAAGTAAATTGCGAAAGTAAATTATAGCGTCAGATGTTACATTCAGTCAAAAAAAATTAATAAAGATGGTTAAGTTTTGCAACGTACACATGAAACTGCCCCCTTAAGGGGCCTTTCTACCTTGTGGGATTTTAAAAACCGAATTATTTTTGCGTTTTCTTTTAGTATGTAGTCTCGAAAATATATCTACCAAACATAGTAAATGTAGAATATAACAACTGGACGTGAAACTTTAAAGTTGTTTTTCTCGAAACTACATTTTTCGGCACTGCGTATGTGATAACAGAAAAACTATTCAAGATATCAACATCAAATTTATACAGTATCTTTAGAACTAGTCTCCCTATAGCATGAACTAGGATAATTGCGATATCTGCAGTACTTTTTCTTTTATTAACAAAAAGGCAGCCGAATATATGAAAATATTCAGTATTTTCTCGTAAAATAGCTGCCATTTTGCCATTTTTTGTTCTTTTGAAAAGATCCTAATTCATGCTATAACCACACTCATCTACATTAAGAATATCGTTGGTTTTTGGATTTCGGATAACTTGTTCGGAAGATATCACCTACGCAGTCGAGCGCTGTTCCTAAAAACTGTTGTTTGTTGATCAACAAAAACAGCGTAATCAATAGATATTATGCGTTGCAAAAATTCGTAAATATAGCTAAATATATAATACATGTATCTACAAAACACGGAATTAATCGCTCTTTAATAGCACGCAAAAAAAAATCACAAAGAAACATGTATTTTTCTACAAGGTAGAATGGCCCCTTAAGGTTGCCAAATAAATCATTCGCGAACAGATTAGCAGCCAATTCGATGGCGAACAGTTTGCCTGGTCCAGCGATCAGGTTCCCGCGTAAAAGCGGGAGAACGAATTAGCCGTTAATTACGATCGACTGGACGGCGTAAACTCGTAGCAAAGACGGCCGCAAAACCGCGTGCACGCTCGAGTTTCCATCGAAATTTCGCCCTTTGGGTCCCGCGTCGCGGGAAAGTTCAAAATTCTGATTTCCCATTATCAAAGGGCGGACGGAATTCCATAGTGAAACGCAATGAAAGAGATACAGACGAGTTGGCGCGTGTTCCCCGGGATTTCCTTTTATCTCCCGTTCTTCCGGTATTCCTTGGCACGCGAGGGCGAGTCGAAAAGTGAAAGAAATGAATGCGAATGTGAAAATACGAGTCAGTTTCGTTAAAACGGATGGTGGAAAAGTAGTCCGCGAATGGAACTCCGAGTGGAGGCTGGAAGAGAGAAAATGCGAAAGAAGGAATTAGGTAAACTAAGGAGGAGCCTGTCAAAGTGCTCCGAGCACCGATACGCTCCTCTTTGAGGCGCTGGATAAACCGTTATTCGCATTACAAATGGCGTCTCGGAGATTCTCGGAGAGTTGGTCAAAATGTTGTCTCAGAAAGGTTTGTCTTTATCGCGCGCGAGGAAAAGTTCACTTGTTTAAGCGGAGAAAAAAACGCAATCGATGTTTAATCAACCGAATATAATGGAGGCTCTACTGCTCGCCGAAGTTTTCGATCGCCTCCTTAACGCCGGCCAATAGATGCCAACGACGGGATCCTCTGACTCCTGGCGCGATAGATTTATTTCCTCCGGCGATAACCATTCGTCTGTCCCCATAGAATGGTAATTTTTGTCGAGAAATACCGAGCGGTTAAGGTGATAGACTGCCGGGGCGGCTTTACTTCTGGGAATAACGCCAGCGTTTTAACAAATAGAACCTCTCGCGAGTGGAAGGATCGCTCTCCTTTGGCGCGTGTCCAATGAGGAACGGATATTCGTGCGTGGAAGTTTCGCAGAATCTTTGAAATAGTGCTCTAATAGCGTGACAACGTCGAAAAAACTACGAGAGAAACGATAGTCGCGATATCTCGCGCGTTCACTGGGACACTTTAACAGACATTTCTTGAATTTCAACCCACCAAGAGGATTAATCTTGATAAGGGCTGTTAATTTTTGAAATATTTTTATTTGAATGGTCCGATTGACATTTATTTTCTTATACTTGACGATCAAAAGAACCCTCTTCAGCCCGGTTCCAACGATTTACTCGACCTCTAAATGCTCTGTTAACCCTTTCAAGCACTCCACTGGAAATTTGTTGACATGCCTGAAGGATCTCCCGCCTCGAGTCGTTTGGTACCGTCGATTTCGGTGTCTTTCACGATATCTTCGCGCCGCTTCCCTGTAATTCCCATTACACTCTACCAAGATTAAAATCGTGTCAACAACCCCGCTCGCTGTGTAATCTTTCATTAGTCTGAGAGCTCGCTACAATTTTAGCGTCATTTTATTAAGAAAATCGACGAACCTGCGGGGTCGTCACACCCTCGAGGATTACAACGGCGTTGAAATATTTCTTAACTTTAAAATAATGTGCTTTTAAAGTCAGCCAGGTCGGTAAAATATTATTGTCCCATCGTTTGGAACGGTTCTCTCTCGTCGATCGATCTGAAATTGTAACGTTCGTAGTAAAATTTGATTTTGGCAAGGGCGTCCACGTTCGATGAGACCGACACAAATTGCAGTAGAAAGGACATTCGGGATGTGGAAATAGTGCGGAGTAAGGTCGAAGTTTCTCATCCAATCTTCACCGCACGATAAAGAATCTCATCCGAGGGATTACCTTCGAAAAAGGGGTCACACAATTAAATTATGCAAGGTAATACGCGCTGATTTAGGTGACACCGTCGCGATTACGGGACCTGTCATACGGCGTGGGATTCAATGATTAAGGATAACGTCAGTAACGTCGCGAATATTAAGGACTTCCGAGAGGTCGGGCTCGAATCTCGAGCCAGTTCATCGAAAACTACTGGCGGATATAAATAGGACGCGCAGGGACCCATATTAACAGACTTTATTCGTAAAAAAAGGAATCTCAGGTTACAGAAAATCTCGAGAGTTTCGTCGATTCGTAAATCCGAGCAATATCGTCGTCCAGAGAACCATTAGAGAGATCTGGAAAACTCGAGACGGTTCTGTAGGTGACCAGAGAATTTATGATACTCATAACATGCATTCTCCGCGGAAATCAACGATCAAAGACCGTTTAAGAACCATCCGACAGGAGGCCATTTGTCGTCGGATAGGCGAACGTGTCTGGAATTCGGATAGGGCGGAGAACTTCTCCCCGAAAGTGCTTCGAAGAATTTTTCGAGGGGATCGTTAAAGGCGTGGAAACAGAAGAGAATTCCTACCGATG